AGAATGAAGTTGGGTTACTACCTCACATCTTATAAAAAAGTTAACTCAAAAATGGAACAAAGAGTAAATGTAAAAGCTAAAGCTATAAAACTCTCAGAAGAAAATATAGTCATAAATCTTTGTGACCTTGGATTAGGTAATGATTTCTTAGATATGACACCAAAGTACAGGAAACAATAGAAAACAACAAATTGAACTTCATCAAAATTTGTGCTTACCAACAAGGACACCAATAAGAAAATGAAAGAACAATGCACAGAATGGGAAAAAATATTAGCAAACTGTATATCTGATAAGGGACTTGTAGATGGAATCTATAAAAACTCTTATAACAATAAAAAAAAAATAACTCAATTAGGCTCTGACTAGATATATGAGGAAGATATATAAAAGGCCAAGAGGCACATAAAAAGGTGTTTGTCATCTTTAGTCATCAGAAAAGTGCAAATCAATGTAATACCACTTCACACCCACTAGTATGGCTATCATCAAAGAGATGGACATAAATATTGGCAAAAATGCAGAGAAACCGGAATCCTCATACATTGCTAGTGGGAATGTAAAATGATGTACCCACTTTGGAAAACAGTTTGGCACCTTGTCAAAAGGTTACATACAATCACCATCTGACCCAGCAATTCTACTTCTAGCTAAGACAATTGAAAACATAGAGCCACCTCCACCCAGAAGCAGGCAAGCAGCAGAGTACACCCAGGGTCCTAGGCAGGAGCCAAGGGCAGCCCTGTCCACCTGGAAGCAGGCAAGCAGCAGAGCATGGCTGGGGTCCTAGACAGGAGCCAAGGGTACTATCCCTTGCCCAGAAGAAGGCAAGGAGCACACTGAAAATACCACTTCCACGCAGGTGGCCCACAACAGCCGCTGCCACAGTCACAACTGCTGCAAAAGCTGTTCAATGCCACAGCAGTAGCCACAGCTGCCACGCAAGTGGCCTGCCAGACACTTGACTGCACTGACACAAGGAGAGAGTCACCAGTGGAGACCGGAAAAAGAAGAGGACGTCTCTTTCCTCAAAGCCCACTCCAGAGTAACAGAAGAAGCAACTGTTCTACCAGATGACCAGACATCAATGTAGGGATATTAGAAATATGAAAACTCAATAGAATATAACACCACAAAATAATACAGTAATTCTCAAATACCAGACCCTATAGAGCAGAAAATCCTGTAGTCAGTGGAAAGGAATTCTGAGCAACACTTAAGGAAACTCTCTGAGATAGGAGAACACACAGACAACAATGAAACAAGGAAAAAAACAGGATATGAAGGAGGAAATTTACAAGAAGATTAATACCTTAAAAAAAGAATGCAGCAGAACTCATGGAACTGAAAGATTCACTCAACAAAATAAAAACACAACTGAGAACTTAAGCAGCAGGCTAGAACAAGCAGAAGAATTTCTGATCTTGAAGATAGCTTTTTTAAAATAACCTAGGTAGACATAAAAAAGGAAAAAGAATTTTTAAAAAATGAAGAAAATCTAAGAGCGCTAGAACACAACTTTAAGCACACGAACATTCAGATTATGGGTGTTCCAGAAGGGGAGAAGAAAGAAAAAGGCATGGAAAACCTATTCAATGGAATAATAATAATGGAAAATTTCCCACACAGGTATAGAGAGAGACACAGACCTTTAGACCCAGGAGGCTCAAATATCCCAGAACAAATTCAACCCAAAAAGATCCTCTCCGAGGCACATTTTAGTCAAACTGGCAAATGTCAAAGACAAAGAGAGAATCTTTATTTATTTATTTTTTTTTTAAAAAGATGACCGGTAAGGGGATCTTAACCCTTGACTTGGTGTTGTCAGCACCATGCTCAGCCAGTGAGCGAACCGGCCATCCCTATATGGGATCCGAACCCGGGGCCTTGGTGTTATCAGCACCGCACTCTCCCGAGTGAGCCACGGGCCGGCCCCAAAGAGAGAATCTTTAATGGATCAGGAGAAAAGAATCAAGTCACCTATAAGGGAGCCCCTATCAGACTAACAGCAGATTCCTCAACAGAAACTCTATAGGCCAGAAGAAAATGGGATGATATATTCAAAATACTAAAAGAAAAAAACTTCCAGCCAAGAATACCATGTCCAGCAAGGCCATCCTTCAGAAATGAGGGAGAAATAGTGTATTTTCCAAACAAACAAAAACTGCAGGAGTTCACTACCATATGACCAGCCCTGCAAGAAATCCTCAAGGATGTCCTGTATCAGCAATCCAAAAAACAATAATCACTCATCTTACTAGTTATAGTTCTGTTCAAACCCTGTATTTTTTCATAATTCAGTCTTGGTAGGTGAGGCTACCACCTCAAGAATTTATTCATGTTATCTAGATGATCTAATTTGCTGACCAACAATTATTCATAGCATCTCTTAATAACCCTTTGATTTCTGTAAATTCTATTGTAATGACCCCTCTTTCATTTCTGATTTTACTTGAATCTCCTCTCTTTTTTCTTAGTCCATCTAGGTAAAGGTTTGTCAATTTTGTGGATCATGTCAAAGTACCAACTTTTGGTTTCATTGATTTTCTCTATTTTTCTTCTATTTTCTATTTCTATTATCTGTGCTCTAATTTTTATTATTTACTTCCTTTGCCAGGTCTGGACTTAGTCTGCTCTTCATTTTCTAGTTTTGTAAGGTGCAAAGGTAACTGTTATTTGAGATCTTTCTTTTTTATTAATATACGCATTTACATTAAATAAATTTCCCTTTTAGGAAAAAAAAGGGAATATATGATACAGGTAATATTTTAGATATAAATTATTACAATATTTATATACACCATGTATCTATATTATAAATAAGTATCTATATTCATTTTAAAAAAGGGATGAAATTCTGCCCTTTGAGCAACGTGGATGAACTTAGAGAAAGTTATGTTAAGTGAAATAAGCTAGGTACAGAAAGAGAAATGCCACATGTCTTCACTCATAAGTGGGAGCTGAAAAAATAAATAAATACGCAAAAAAGGAAAAGAAAGATACAACATTTACAATAATTCCTTGAACTCTCAAAAGGAGAGAACAGAACTGAGGGCACCAGAGGTGGGAAAGGGGAAGAAGGAGGGAGGGTTAGGGAGAAATTAGTAAAGGGCCACAGAAAAATGTTTACATTGTGTAATAATAAAATAAAATAAAGAAAAATAAAATAAAACAAATGTATTATTTCCCACGGAAGAAAGAAAACATATGTCCACACAAAAACTTGCATATGAATGTTCATGGCAGGATTATTCATAATAACTAAAAAGTGGAACCCAAATGTTCATTAACTGATGAATGGATAAACAAAATGTGTATTCAGCGATAAAAAGGAATGAAGTAATGATACAACACAGATGAACCTTGAAATAATTATGCTAAGTGAAAGAAGCCAGTCATGAAGGGCCACATAATATGATTCCATTTATATGAAATGTTCATAATAGGCAAATCTGTACAAAGTAGAAGTAGATTAATGGTTGCTAGGGGCTAAGATGAATGGGGAATGTGGAGTGACTGCTAATTGGTATGGGGTTTCTTTCTAAGGTGATAAAAAAATGTTCTAGATTTAGATTGTGGTGACTGATCCACAACTCTGTGAATATGCTGAATAAAAAACAAAGAAACAATGAATTGTACATTTTAAAAGGGTAAATTTTATGATATGTGAATTATATCTCAATTTGAAAAAAAAGACAGTTGACTATTTAAAGCAAAAGTAGTAACATATTTTGGGGGTTGTGCATAGAAGTAACATGTATGACAACAATATCACAAAAGTCAGAAAGGAAGAAATGAAGTATATTGTTGAAAGGTCCTTAAACTATAGGTGAAATGGGAAAATATCACTTGAAAATGGGCTGTGATAAGTTAAACAGTACATTAGTATCTCTAAAGAAGCCACTGAAATAACCCAACCAAGAGTTATAGCCAATAAGTCAATAAAACAAAAATATGGACTTAATCTGACAGAAGGTTATTGTTCAATATAAAATAAACAAACCATTATGTGAAAAAAGCATTTTCAATTTTTGATGAGAACTTGCAAATTCAACCAGTCACACCCCAGTGCAAAGTGGATACATTAGGGATACAAGTAACACAGGTAGGACTTTTGAGCCCATCTAAATCTTGTACACTACTAAACATAATCTCCAGTAACAAACTAGATATTGGAAATGTCTTCAAGAACATAAAGCAGGGATTGAAAAACTTTTTACAAAGGGTCTGATAGTAAATGTTTTTGGCTTGGTAGCATACAGTCTTTGTAGCAACTCTGCCATTGTAACATGAAAGCAGCTGTAGAGAATATGTAAAAGAATGAGCATAACTGTGTTCCAAAACTTTATTTACTAAACAGGCAGTGGGAAGACTCAGCCCACAGGTCACAGTTTCCAAAACATAACTTAAACTCTGGTTAGGGAGAGAAAATATAACAAAAAGTAAAGTAAAATAAACTAGTCACATAGGACATGCACCTAAGGAATGCACAGATACTATCACAGAGGTAAAGACGAGTGAGAAATCAATGATTGGCTAATAAAAAGTAAGAATTTTTATATCATTATTTTCCAAGTGAAGGAAATAACAACAACAGTAATAACACAGGCTAACTTTCTTTTAATAAAGTATCTTTCTTATATAAAAGGGTTCATCCATTAAATAACAAATTCATAAGAACAAATATAAAGGATGTTTAATTTTTAAAAAATTCTTGGCTATTTGATTTGCTCATGTCACACAGATGAGAATGTTAGTCTTTTGAGACATATGAAGATAATACATTTTCTTAGTGAAGGCTTAAAGCAAGTCTAGATTTTTTGGAGCAAAACCCTTGAGTAATCTAGATATTCATACCCAGCTTCATGAAAAGATCTAGAATCCTCTGTATCTTTTAAGAATGCTTGCAGATCACCTAATATATTTTCAAAGGCTCTCTACCCTTATTGGTCAGCATTTATAGATATTGGAGAATAAGAAAAAAATAAGAAATTACTGACCTGTCTATCTACTGAGTCTCCTGCACCTTTTAATGACTCCATGGAAATTGAAGCATCAGTTACCCTGGAAGCCTTAACTTTAACATCAGCTTTGGGACTCATCAACTTCTGTCTTGATCTCATATTTCCTTCTGTAGAAATTCCTAAGGATTTCCATTAAACAAGATTTCAATATCATATCTTCTCATCCTCTCAAACACTCCCCCCTTCAACCTCTTCCTTGGTATCCTGTACTTTATGGAAACTGATGGGGAAAACTCTTTTACTTTATAAACTTCATTTTAAAGCTCTCTTAACATATAGTGAATCATGAAAAAGTTGTTTTAAAGGCATACATTAAAGATTCAACTGAAATATTTTTAAAAGATGCTGTGAACATTCATAAGTCACATTAAAACCAAAAAATTATAATGTGTCATACATAACTAAGAGGAAATCAAGGGCCTCTTTTCACATAACTAGGGTATCTTCAATGGTACAACTCATCTAGTAACAATCAATAAACTTTAAAGAGTCTCTTACCTAAATCCTGTATCAAAATATTAAATTTAATATTTTCTTTGAAGTATTAAATTTAGGCTATTATTCATAAAATAGTGCCTTCTTAATCCATGAAGTATTATAACAAGTTCATTAAAAGCTGACTTACTGGGCCGGCCCGTGGCTCACTCGGGAGAGTGCGGTGCTGATAACACCAAGGCCACAGGTTCGGATCCTATATAGGGATGGCCGGTTGGCTCACTAGCTGAGCATGGTGTTGACAACACCAAGCCAAGGGTAGAGATCCCCTTACCGGTCATCTTTAAAAAAAAAAAAAGCTGACTTACCTAGCTAATCCCCAAAATAAGCCAGTATTTCAAACCTTAATAGGGTCATGCCAAATATTCAGAAACCAAGGGCCGGCCCGTGGCTCACTTGGGAGAGTGTAGTGCTGATAACACCAAAGCCACGGGTTCAGATCCCTATATAGGATGGCTGGTTAACTCATTTGGGAGAGTGCGGTGCTGACAACACCAAGTCAAGGGTTAAGATCCCCGTACCGGTCAAACTTTAAAAATACATAAATAAACAAATATTCAGAAACCAAATTTTAGGTTCCAACAGACTGTTCTACATCCAGTTTTACCTGCAAAGTTGTCCTAATGTTTTATTTTCCCCTTCCACTCAAGGAGCAATGAAAGCTTCCCAAATTTTAACATAGAAAATCATACCTGGAACATATACTACTGATTGTTCTTCATCAGAAACTATGCAGGACATAAAGGAAAATATAATAGGAGATTATCCAATATCCAAATGCTGCTCCTGTTCTGTATGTCTGCTATAATTCATCATCTCTTCTAACCTGGGAATTTATAACTAACTTCTAAAAACAAAAACTAGAAAGCAAAGTAATTGAAGTAAATGTAGCAAAATTAATATTCTTTAAAAGTTCATCTTCATATATTCACAACCACATGTTTTGTAAAAATTTTGGAAGGCCCTTTTGCATGAAACTTTTATCCACTCTTATTCTCAAGTGAAATACCCTGCAATATACATTCTTCTGTTAGTTTCCTTTCCTTTTCTTTTCATTTTGTAAACAAGGAGTTAAGTGCTCCAGTTTGCTCATTATTGGGGAACTGACAAGTTATTTTAAGCATTAAGAATAAATAATTTCAAGATGGGCTTCAGCTTTGAAGAACAAACACTGAGGGCAAGTCAATCATGCAAACACAAAGACAATATTCTTCTGCAGTGAATTCATGAAATGTCCCAAGAAGCCCTACTATTCAAAAAGTGTTATACATTCAAGACAAAAAGAACTGTTTTGAATTTCAAAAGGAGAAATTTAGAAAGGCTAAGACCATAATACTGCTACAAAAAGAGAACTAGTATAATAAGAAAGCTTTCTTTCCAGAAACAAAATATTATTCAGAATTATATCTAAATCCAGGTATGTCCACAATTTGATAAATTTGTTATATTTCCGGGAAGCAAGCATCTAAACAAATTTTTTTTTCAAATGATCTAGAAAAGTCCAAAGTTTTCTGTTCTTCTCCTATAAAACGTTTTCAAAGATTTCTAAATGAAGCAATTACTAATTATATCCTTCCTGGAAAAGGCTGGAGTGCATTTCATAACATGTTCAAAAAGTCAACATATTTCAGCTCAGTATCAACCCCAGCAATGGGGTCTCTTCAGGGAATACTGATTGGAAATGCCTGGAATCCTACAGGAATTTAGGAATACTGAGATGGTGCTTACTGTCTGAGCTGCCAGTGTTTCTAACAGCTCTGTGCCGCAGCACATGCACTAACAGTTTCAAGATTTTGGCTGACACCTAATGCCCCTAAATTTTCATTTCCCTCAAACATCAGGAATGAGCTTAGAAAGTTTCAGGAAATACATAAGGCAAGTAAACAAAAAAAACTAGAACCCACTACTCCAAGGAAACTGATAGCTACTAATATGAGAGCAGAGAGAAAATTTCTAAATTCACTGACACCCAATCTAAAAATAGTCTTATAAAATGAAATTGTGCAGGCTTCTCAACATCAAAAACTGAATCCTTTTTTTTTTTTTTTTATATCCCTTGAGTCTAGCCCAGGGCCTTGCACAAACAGTAGGTACTCATATAAATGTTTATATGCTATCTGAAATGTATACCTGGAAAAAAGTACACAGGGGGAAAAAAATCTAAGACAACAATTCTTCATAGGGCAGTGTCTTCAACTAGAAGATACAGTAATGATGAATTTCAGAGTATTCTCCAAGTATGACCTGTAGAAAGAATAACATAACTGAGTCCTAGAAAACATACTACACGTCCCCAGACCATTCACAAAGCAGCCTGCTCACAGCTGGAAGAGTCCAGCCACTGGGGACCCCACTCAGCTTCACCTTGATTTGGAAGCTCAATCAAATATTTTTCACTTTCCCCTCTCTTCTCAAACCTGACACAACTTCTCCCATCCTTACTCTTAGCTAATAACTTTGCTTACTATTTCTTCCAAAAAAAAATGTAAAGACCTTCCCCAAGCTTCTAACAGCATATCTAACTAACTTTCCTGTACCTATGCACATATACTCTGCTTTCCCTCTTGTTGCTATGGATGCCATGCTCTAAGCTAAAGCCAATACAGTCCTTACACAAAAAAAATACCACTTCTTTTTTTTACCCAAGGGTATTATTGCTCCAGGTATTCTCCACCTCTTTCTCCTGAATCAAACCTAATGAACTTTTTCCATTAGCATCCAAACATGTAATAATGTATTTTTTTCAGAAAAGGGGGGAAAAGATACTCTCCTGACCCTACATCCCCCTCCAACTATTGTGCCAGTTTTGCTCCCCTCTACAGCAAAACTTCTCAAAAGAGCAATCTAACACTCACCTTCTCCAATTCCTCCCCTCCCAATCAATCTTTTTTTTTTTTTTAAGATGACGGGTAAGGGGATCTTAACCATTGAGTTGGCAGCACCATGCTCACCTAGTGAGCTAACCGGCCATCTCCATATAAGGATCCAAACCCATGGCCTTGGTGTTATCAGCACCACACTCTCCCGAGTGAGCCACAGGCCGGCCTCAATCTTGAACCTATCCCAATCAAGCTTTTGACTTCATCAGTGCAGCACACCTACTTTTAACCAGGTTACAATGGTATATATTGTTAAATCCACCAGTCAGTCCTCAGGCTTCTCTGTACTTGATCTAGCAATAGTATGTGACACACATGACCATTCTCCTCCTTAAAACACCTATTTTGCTTGGCTTCATAGATACCACACACTCATAATTTTCTTCCCATTTTTCTAACCACTCCCTCTCAGTCTCCTTACACTATTCTTAGCCTATAAAACTTGGCATGACCATTCTCCTCCTTAAAACACCTATTTTGCTTGGCTTCATAGATACCACACACTCATAATTTTCCTCCCATTTTTCTAACCACTCCCTCTCAGTCTCCTTACACTATTCTTAGCCTATAAAACTTGGAGTGCTCCAGGGTCCCCTCCTTTGAAGTTTTCTCTATCTACTCATTCACATGGTGATCTCATTCAGTTCTCGTGTCTTTAAATACCATAAATATGCTTACTCTGCCAAATTAATCTTTAGCAGGAGCCTATTCCCATTAAACCTGACATTGCCACTTAGATGTACAAAAGATATCTCAAACTCAACAGGTCCAAAACTGAGATCCTAGCCTTCACATCAAAAGCTGCTCCTCAAATATCATTCTCCATCACAGTGAATGGCAATTCCATCCTTCTAGCTGCCCAGGCCAAAAACATGGCATTATTCTTGATTCCTATTTCCCTCATACCTCACATTCAGAAAATCCTGTTGGCTCCATCTTCAAAACATAGCTACAGTCCAACCACTTCTCTCCAACACTATCACCCTGATCCAAGTCACCTTTTACTCTCACCTGGATTTTTGTAATAACCTCATAACTGCTTTCTCTCTCATTTCTGTGCATGACCCTATTTTTCATGCAATGGTTAGAATAACCATTTTAAAACTTATGTCATTCCTCATTCAGATTTTAAAAGGCAAAGTATTTACAAGGGCTTACAACGCTTACGATCTGCTCCCTCTACCCCATTAACTCTCTGACCTCATTTTCCTACTATCACTAATTTCTGGATTCCCTACAGTTGCTAATGAGCTAGGCAAGCTCCTGCCTCACAAGTTTTGCATTTATGATTTCTTCTATCCAGAAAGCTCTTTCCCCAAATATCCTTATGGCTCACTCCTTCACCACTTTTAGCACTTCGGCTATATGTTACCTTTTGATTGAGGCTTTTACTTCCTAACCATGTAGCTACTTAAAATGGCAAAACTCTCTCTTACTACAACGTATCTACTTCCCCCTACTACCTGCCTCTTTCCTGCTTTATTTTTCTCCATAGCGCCTATAATCATTGCACATACAATAGATTTTACTTATTCATGGCCTCATCTCATCTCACTAAAATGTGAGCACCAAGAGGGTGATGAGTTTCATCTTGTTTTGATCAATGTTGTATCCCCAAACATAAAAGTCTGGCTCACAGTAAGTCATCTCTGAAAGAATGAAATTTATATTTACTTGATTTTATGAGGCATTATCCAACAACTTTCTCTCTTTATCTCTTGCAAAATATGCAGGCAAAACCTATTATTTCTAGCTACATCCATGCCAAATTTCTCTTCAAATATAAAAAAACTCTAAATTTACTTCAACAAAAGTTTTTAAAAATAAGAATAAAAATATTTGAAGTTGCCTCCATACAATCTATTCTTTCTAATACTTTGTAATCCATCTCCAGCTCATTATCTTAAGAACCCAAATATATACTTTCTTTAAATACAGAATGTATATTTTATGGTGAAGTCAAACAGAAACAATATATACCAAATGTATATTGGACCTACTGTTGCGTTTCATGTACCACCTTAGTTCTACTTTGACTTCTTTGGAAGTGTCTCAATAAAACAAGTATAACAAGTTATAAAGCATTTTTAGTGCTGTTAGCAATCTACCCAAATCCCCAGAATTAAAGTAGTAATTAGAAACCAAGGGCAGAAGTGGTACAGAGGAAAAAGCATTTCTATCCAGACTTCCAGGATCTGAAGGAAATAAGCTCTGTTCTGCCCACTCTAACCCACTGAGTTTGCCAAGTGGCAACCCACTTGCCAGCAATACATGTACATGTAATTATTATTGACCACAGAGACTTTTTGGGGTAGTGCATATTTTTTAGATCAACACAAAGTCTTTGTCTATTTTTATTTGAAAACTCAATGGCAGAGATTATATTTACTGCAATGTTCCCTTGCAGTGCATATTTGTTAATATCGAGTTGACAATATTGTTAATGATAATACATTTGAGTGCATTTTCAGCAATCAAATTTAGATACTGCAGATAAATTAGTTAGATACTAGCTTCTTCTGACATTACTAGGAATTATAAAAGAAGGAAGAAAGCAATTTATGATGAGGGCACATATTTTACTGTAAGATTTAAACCATAAAATGATGACATGGCATATTCATTGTTTACACATTAGGAACCAAGACATATCTTGTACAAAACAGCACTGCTGAGTCAAAATGTACAGGATATTCGTTAACTCACAAGAACAGTAAAAAAAAAAAGGTGACATTCAGTCACAGATGACTGTCCTCTCATGATGGAAACATCTAGGATTGAGAAATCGCTCAATCACATTTCTCTAGTTGTTTACGTGAAGCACTGGAAATCCTTTTTTCAACAGAGTGAAAAGAATACCAGATTATAGGTACATACTTTCTGGTCTTTTCTATTGAAAATTCTACTATAAAGGCTCTGGGGTGGTCCTGGAATCACCAATGTGATAAGAAAAAAGTTCAACATCTAAAGACACATGACTAAACCAAATGATTCATAACTATCATTATGCTTTTCATCAAATATTCAGTAACAAATTTACATAAGACATTGCTTTTATGCCCTATGGAAATTTGAAATGAAAACATCTGAGGCTGGATGTTAATTGGTCATTACATGGAATAGGCTGGGGAAATAAGTGATACTAGTAACTTTGCAATTTCTTTCATACATGTAACTTTCTATAGGATGTAATCACCACCATTTTTCCCCATGCAATTTCAATTCCTATCAGTAGGAAGATACGTTTTTTACATTAAATTTTGAAAGAGAATGTAAGAAATATGGGAGTATATATGACTTCCACATGAAATAGGAGTGATGACTATATGATATATAAGTGAGAGTACAGCTAAGAGCAAGAGCATAGGTTCAGTTCATACACTTGTTAATTAACTTAGTCAAATTTCAATAGATTGTTCTCCCCAACCATTTATTCCATATCAGAACAATACCACTGATTGTTATAAGCTATATCATCTCCTCTATCACCGAATCCTATCAATGCAAAAGCAGTGTTTCATAAGACTCATCCCCATTTCCTGACTTCCTAATTCAGCACAGTTGTCCCCAATGCACATATTCTCTTCTCATCCGATAGGTAAAGAGAAAAATAGTTAATTTGCTCAGTGCACTAGTGTGCTTTCATCCACAGTGTATGTACATGATTTAATTTGCTTCTCACCAACACAGAGACAAGTGGTAATTATGGTTAGTAAGTGCATAACACACCAGGTGGCATAGAATGCAAAAATATCCCTCTCCACACATGACGCTCTAATTCTAGCACCTCAATAAGGGGAACTGAAAATAAAATTTTGTGTTTCACCGGCAGCTAAGAAGAACTTCCAAAGAGTGAATTTGCCAAAAGTAACAGCAATGCCTCAAACAATGTCATCACCAATCCCTGTAAAACTGACCAAAAGGACTCGCCTCTGCAGGCATCCAATAATGCTTACTGCCCTCCCTCTTTCAAGTAACACTCCTCTAAGAAATATGAAGTAAGTTATCAGGACCAAAGCTCAGGCTAGAACAGTCTACCTAACCCAGAGAAAGAACCACTCCGGTCACAGAAAGCTCTCATCACAGATATTAAACTGGGAATGCTACCACGAAGCTACAAAGCTCCACAGCTTCTCCAGCCCAAAACAATCCAACAACTTCAATCACTGCCAGTGTGACCCACAAGTTACACGTAAGTCAACACTACTTCCAGGCACAATGATTTGCACCTTATTGCGTAACCACCACCACCAGACCACGTCCCAGTGAAGCCAAGCCCCACACCTCTCCTCTAAAGGTCCAATACGAAAATACATCATCACTGAAGGGCCTTCGAAGTCCTACAAGGTCCTGACTTGTCCTAACAACGCTAAGGATAATCCTAAGTCAAGACAAACGGCTCCCTGCCCAGCCAGCAACCGTCCCTGTCCAGCCAACACCCACTCTTCCCTCAACCACAAGCTCACTCCGCACACTCAGTCGGCCTGGGGTCGCCCGGGGAGCGTCGGCAGAGAGACTGGGCCACGGCTCTAGGCCGTCTTCCCCGAGCTCACGCCAAGGAGGGCTGGGAGTCATCTGTGTTGTGTCCTCACACCTGGAATTCCAGCTCAATCAGGCTCTGGGCCACCTAATACCCAAGCAAGGGGAAAGCCCGGCGCCTAGACTGAGGCCCGACAGCACGTCCCCGCCCCCGGGGATAGCACGGAGCTTCTCTCCACTCAGAGTCCCACGCGACCGCTCGCCCGTCGCCGCCCCGGGGAGGGCGCCGGCGCCCCCTGCCAGGTGGGCAAAGGATACAGTCTCTGCTCCAGAACGCCGCGGCGCTCGGGCGGGAAGGACAGGCCACGTCCGCCATCTTGAAGCAACCGCCACTCAGAGCGCCGCGCCGGGGCCGCCACGCCCCGGCCTTCAGGCTCCGTCCCCATTGGCCGCACGGCGCAGAGGCCCGCCCGCGCTTGCGGGACCGACCCCGGCGGGGCGAGAGGGTCCGGGCGGAGCGGAGGCTGTGTCCGCCAGGTGCGGTGCAGGGTACAGGCCTGGGCGGCGGGAACGAGCGCCCGGCGGAGCTGCTGCTGCCGGACCAGCCCGGGCCGCCCATCTGCCTCCCGCCGCGCTCTCAGGCGCCGAGAACTACAGCTCCCAGCATGCCGTGAACCTGACAGCCAAGGCACTGGGGCGGGGTCCGGCCCTCCTCCGGCCCGCCCCGCTCCCCAAGCCGGCCCCAGCCGCTCTCTCGGCCGCGCGCCGAGCGGGGACGCGAGCCATGGAGGAGGCGTCGCCCTCGCTGCTGGGTTGCAACAAGCCGCACCTGGAGAAGCTGACCCTCGGCATCACCCGCATCCTAGGTGAGTGAGGGGTCGTGAGGGGGACGAACTGGGACGAGGCGGGGAGTAGAAGAAAGGAGGAGCGGGGTGGGCAGCACGACGCTGGACCCTGTGTGGGAGTGGGCATGGCCGCTGTGACTTCCGTTACTGCAGAGGAAAAGGGGGGAGCCGAGTGCGTGACTAGGCCGGGGAATTGTTTGAGAAGAGTGTTCGGAGCCAGAGCTGGGAAACCCGAAGCTTCCCCGCCACCCACCCGAGGTCCCACCCCAGGGGCCGGGAAGGACGGGCAAGAAGTGCAAAGGGAAGACAGCTAGGACCTGGCAGTTAGGAGGTTGGGTTTTCCAAGATTCATTCTTAGCCAAGGCACTATCCTTGAAACCAAGCCCTTCCTGTGGTACCAGAGTGCGCTGGGAAAGATGCAGCCAGCCTCCCAGAGCAAAGGAGTCTATGCTTACTTGCTCCAGTGAATGGGTTAGAGTGTTTCTTTTATGGAATGTTTATCTAGTCCCCACCACTGTGTTACCGCCTGGGGCTGCAAAGATGAAAAAGACACGGTTCTGTGAAAAATTAAACAGACTAGGCCCCTAGAAGTGTGACAGGAGGTATTGCTCAGAGGTAGCACAGAGGAGAAGGTGACTGACCTTCTCTGGGAAGTTCATGAGCCTGTCCCAGAGGAGATGATGCTAGATTTTGAAAGACAAATGAGAAACCAAGGAGGAGAAAGCCTGTCTAGGCAGGCTGAAAATCATGCTTCGGTGCCTTCCCATCACGATTATAATAAAATCCACATTTCTGTACCATGACCCACAAGCCCTTGTATGATGTACTCTTATCTGTCTAATATATTTTCACTCTGTTTTGGCCACGGTGGCTTTCTTGCTGTAAAGGCTGTGACCCTAAACGCACTAAGCATATTCCTGCTTCATGCCGTTTGCTATTTGCTTTACACTCCATCTGAAATTATATCCCTGTGAATGTCTCTCTTCCTCATGTCGTTCAGATCTCTGATCAAGTATTACCTCAGTGAAGCTTTCCCTGAATATGGGTCTAATAATACCCTTCCCTATTGCTCTCTCTTCTCTCACTCTACTTTTAAAAATCCTCGTAGCTTTTATCAGTACTTGAAATTATGTATTTATTTGGTTGTTTTTTTTGTCTTTTTTTCTATAATAGAAGCCCAAAACCAAGTGGATTTATCCTAGGAATGTGTGGCTTATTTAATATATGAAAATTGATTAATGTGATACACCTTATTAATAGAATAAAAGACAAAAACCACAGTCATCTCAATACATGCAGAAAAAGCACTTGACAAAATCCAACACCTTTTCATGATCAACAACAACAAAACTAGAAATAGGATAGAGCAGAGTTAGAACTTCTTCAATCTGATAAAGGACATCTATGAAAAACCTATAGCTAACATTATACTTAATGGTCAAAGACGGACTGATTTTTCCTTAAGATCAGAAACGAAATGTGTCAGGGATCTCCAGGATTACACCAACTTCAATGATTTGCTAGGAAGATTACAGGACTAGGGAGATAGTCATACTCATGGCTGTGATTTATTATGGCAAAAAGATACAAAGTAAAATCAGCAAAGGGAAAGGTGCATGTGGGTAAGTCAAGGAAACCAGGGTCAAGCAAGCTTTCAAGAGTCCTTTCCCAGTGAAATCACATGGGACACGCTTCATTCCTCCAGCAGCATGTTGTGAGAATGTGCCTGAAATGTGGTCTACTAGGGAAGCTCACCTGAGCCTAGTAGTCCAGACTTTTTTTTTTTTTCTTCTTCTTTAAAGATGACCGGTAAGGGGATCTTAACTCTTGACTTAGTGTTGTTAGCACCACACTCTCCCAAGTGAGCCAAGAGCCAGCCCTTAGTCCAGACTTTTTATTGGATCAATAGCATCTACCATTTGTCTAGCATCTACCAAAATTCCAGACTCCCTGAAGAAAAGCAGGTGTTCAGCACAAACCATACTCTTTGCACTAACAGTTTAGGCACAATGAGGCATTTTTAACCAAGAATGGTAGGAACCCAACTGTGACCCAAGTTCCCAGATGCAGCCTTACAAGCAGCCTTTCTAGGGAGTGCAGTATCATGCCTGCTGTATTTAGTCTTTTATGCATAACAAGAACTCCACTCTAACCACTTCTATTCAACATTGTACTAGAGGTTCTAGCCAGGGCAGTTAGGCAAGAAAATGAAATAACAGCATCCAAATTGGAGAGGAAGAAGTAAAACCATCTCTATTTGCAGATGACATTATCTTGTATATAATATTTTCAACAAATGGTTCTTGTGATAACTGGATATCACATGTAAAAGAATGAAATCATACCTCTACCTCAAATCATACACAAAAATTAATACCAAGTGAATCTTAAACCTAAATGTAAGAGCTAAAACTATAAAACTCTTAGAAGAAAACATTGGCTTTAGATTAGTTTTTATGTCACCTTGGTTTAGGCAGTAGATTCTTAGATATGACGTGAAAAGCACCAGCAACAAAAGAAAAAGTAAATTGGACTTCATCAAAATTTAAAATGTTTGTGCGTTTAATGATACCATCAAGAAAGTTTCAGGACTATGCACAAAATAGAGAATACTTGCAAATCATGTATATGAAAAGGGACGTATAGACAGAGTCTATAAAGAACTCTTACAACTTAACAATAGAAGACAAATAATTCAATTTAAAAGTATCTGAGTAGATATTTCTACAAAGAAGTTGTACAAATGGCCAATAAGCACATATAAAGGTGATCATCATCATTAGTCATTAGGAAAATACAGATCAAAATCACAATGAGATACCACTTCATACCCACTAGGATGGCCATAATCAAAAAGATGGATATAAATGTTGGCAAGAACATGGAAAAATTGGAACCGTCATACACTGCTAGTGCGAATGTAAAATGGCACTGCAGCTTTTGAAAAGTTTTGCACTTCTTCAAAAGGCTAAACATAGAGTTACCATATGACCGAAGCAATTCTACTTCTAGATACCCAAGAGAAATGAAACATATTTACATGCAAACACCCACTTGTACACAAATGTTCTTAGCAGCATTATTCATAATAGTCAAAAGTGGAAACAACCCAAATATGCATCAACTCATGAATGGATATACAAGACTACTTCAAAAAGTTCATGGAAAAATAGAATTAAAAGATAATACGAATCTTCCCATGAACTTTGTGTTTTTTTGGCAGCTGGTTCATATGTACAGGGATCATACCCTGAACCTTGCTGTTGTCAGCAGCATGCTCTAAACAACTGAGCTAACTGGCCAGCCCTTTCCATGAACTTTTTGAAATACCCTCGTACAAAATGTATATCTATACAATAGAAAATTATTTAGCCTTTAAAATGAATGAAGTACTAATATATGCTGGAACATGGATGAACCCTGAAAACAAAGTGAAAGAAGCCAGTTGCAAAGGCCACAGTTGTATATTTATATGAAATGTTCAGAATAGGCAAATCTAAGAGTAGACTGAAAGCAAATTGGTGGTTGCCAGAGCCTGGTGGAGGAGGGGAGTGGGGAGAGATTGCTAATAGGTATGGGGTTTCTTTTGGGGGTAAGGATGCACAACTCTGTGAATATACTAAAAACCACTGAATTGTGCACTTTAAAAGGGTGAACTGGGGGCCAGCCCGGTGGCGCACTGCGCTAGTGCGCTGCTTGGGAAGCGCGGCTGCGCTCCCGCCGAGGGTTCGGATCCCACATACAGACCGGTTCCCGCTCACTGGCTGAGCGAGGCGCGGGGGCAACACCGAGGGTTGCGATCCCGTTGCCGGTCCCAGTCCGGTACAGGGGCGACACTGAGGGTTGCGATCCGTTGCCGGACACGGAAAAAAAAAAAAAAAAAAAAAAAAAAGGGTGAACTGGCTGTCCAGTTAGCTCCGTTGGTTAGAATGTAGGCTTATAACACCAAGGTCACAGGTTCGGATCCCTGTACTGGCCAGCCACCAAAAAAAAAGATTTGGGGCCAGCCTGTGGCTCACTTGTGAGAGTGTGGTGCTGATAACACCAAGGCCACAGGTTCGGATCCCTATATAGGGATGGCCAGTTAGCTCACTTTGGAGAGCGTGGTGCTGACAATACCAAGTCAGGTGTTGAGATCCCCTTACCAGTCATCCTTTTTTTAAAAAAAAAAAAAAAAAATAGGGGAACTTTATGATATCTGAATTTTGTCTCAATAAAGCTATTTTTTAAAAAGGAATTCTAAAAACACCTCTGCAAGAATTCCTGCTGTAATCCCCAGGGCTATAAAGCTGATGAGAAATCACATCTTTGATTGTTAGGTTAAATCGCAAAAGGGAGATTATTCAGATGAGCCTAATCTCATCACATGAGCCCTTTAAAACAGGCCAAGAAGAAAGGGAAAGTCAAAGAGATTTGAAGCATGAAAAGGATTTGTTGTGTTGTTGCTGATTTGAAGATGGATGGAACCAAGGGACAAGGAATACAAGTGGCTGCTGGAAGCTGAGAATGGCTCAGCTGACAAGCAAGGAAATGGAGACTACAATCCTACAACCACAAGGAATTTAATTCTATCAATAATAGGAATGAGCTTGCAAGATGACACAAAGCTGCAAATGAACACAACAGCTGACACCTGAGCAGTCAGTGCTACCTGGTGTAAGGAGAGCACAATGATTTCAGCCTGAGCAGAGAATCCAGTCATGCTGTGTCAGACTTCTGAGCTACAGAACTGTGACCTAATAAAAGGGTATTGTTTAAAGCTGCTAATTTGTGGTAACTTATTATTTAGCAATAAAACACTAATACATTTTCCAAGATATTTTAAAGAAAAGAGCAAATGATATCTCAAAAAGAAATACAAGTGTAATATAATACACATAATCATAAAATACTATGATAGAGTTGAGACCAAACATGTCTGTCATAACAATAAAAATGAGTGGACTTACGACACAATTAATAGAAAAAGATTTAAATCTGGCTTGCAAAACCCAGCTGTTGGCTGTTTCCAAAAGCATATC